TATATCGTGTATTTCATTGACAATTATACCGCGTTACTTGATATTAAAATCTTACACACAGGCTAAAGGTTTCGTTTGTGTTTTCATATGTTTAACCCTTTCCTCCATAATGACGCCTTTTGACGCCACCCCCTTTACTCCATAATGACGGTTTTTGACGCCTCTGTATAGTACCTCAGTTGAAACACTTTGACTACGAAATGTCTGTATCAGACTTAATAAAATTTGTATCCAATATAAAACGGATATTCATAAGAATATCTGACTTGAATTGCATTGATGAAATATTTGTTTTCGCAATGCATTAATACTTTAAACGTGCCGATTTTTGTTATAAATAGCCGTCGCCATTTTTTCGAGGTTCTTGATGACAACCAAGTTTCAGAACACTGACATTGTCACGTTAACTACATTTATTGTTGGTTATTAATACCAACTGGTTATAAAATACCTAATAATCAATGTTTACGATACAGTATGCGTAAAAAATTATTTTCCGTAAGAAAAACTTTATTTTGAAACTCCGAGTGTTCACTGCCGCTTTTCTCGCTTTGGATTCGTACATTATTGCAACAAAAGCATTTTATTTTTAAACTTACGTTGAAATATCAGAAATTTAATGAACAACGCGGAGATATACAATTCTTTTCTGACCCATTGAGTGAACAAATATAGCAACTTGTAAAATGTAAACATGTGTTTGGGGAATCCCATTATACGACTTCCGGCGAGTCATTAAGTGGGCGGGAACATACAAATTCTAATGACCACAAAAAAATCATTCAACGTACAATCTTTCAATGTTTTTGCTTATAGAAAGTGCCATTTAAGTTTCAATCATAACTATTTTAAGTTCTTCAAATAAATTAACGAGAATAGCGAATTATGCAACAATATTCAGCATCCGTAAGTTGTGATTCTAAGCCCCGCCCACCAAAAGAATTTACCGTTTTTACAGTGATGTTTACACAAACAAAAGATGATGAATATTTTTCCCGCGATGTTTATTTCAACAATCATGAAGGCATATGGTTCCGTGAACCACTTTGTTTTAGTAGTAACAATTTGACTAACAAATTACAGAGCCTTAACTTTGCGGTTCACTTCCCATTTATAAAATATGTCAGACTAAAAGAACAGACATACGTGCATTTTTCTCTTCACGATTTTCGCCGTATTTCGGGTTTCAGAGAATCAAAATGTAGTTACTCATTTGATTAAAAGCTACCTTAAATTTAAGCAACCAACTGATCAGCACATCTTATTATTAATGTTTAGTAGAGGAACAAGAGGGATATTAAATAATATTAGTATCCTAAACTTTGATGAAAGAACATGTCATGTTCATACATTGTATGTTGCAAATTTTTTTCAAGTTGATTTTTGAGGAACTTGTTTTCTACTTCCACTGGCTGTTACTGACTAATATTTTGTTAGTCTGGGAGAAAACAAAATACCTATTGATAGTTATAATTAATTGGCTTTAAACTAGCTTTCAGTAACTGTGTACTCTTAGATCAATACTCACTAACTCACATGTTTTTTTTTTGTTTTTTTTTATATGTACTTCTTGCCAATCTAATGAGTCAAGTCAGCTATTAAAGAGCAGGAGTTTGGATGGATGCTTAGCACTCCTATCGATTCAAGCCATTCAAAGCAGACTTTTACATTTTATTCCTTTTTTTATGCCCCTGCCATAGCGGTGGAAGCTTTAAGTTTTACCCTTGTCCGTCTATATACGTACATCCCAAAATTGGTTTCCGTTCTCTAACTTGAGTTTGCATCAACCAAATGTTATGAAACTTATACACAATGCTTATTACCACAAAACACAGATCAAGTTCGAATTTGGGTAGTGTCACTTTAACCATTATTGAGTTATGCTATACACAATATTCATTACCACAAAACTAAGATCAAGTACAAATTTTTTGTTTCCGTTTTCTAACTTTATGTTGCCTCAACCAAATGTTATGAAACTTATACACAATGCTTATTACTACATGATACAGATTAAGTACGAAATTTGGTGGCGACACTTTTACCATTCTAGTGTTATGTCCCTTTATTATCATAAAAATTGCTGAATTTTTTAGTTTGTCTCAACCAAATGTTATAAAACTTATACACAACCGTTCTAGAGTTATGCGTGTTTACAAATAGAAAAATTGCTGAATTTTAGTTTCTGTTCTCCACTCAAGTTAGCCTCAACCAAATTTTATGAGACTTACACACAATGCTTATTACCACAAAACTCAGATCAAGTTCAAGTTTTGGTAGCGTCACTCTTACCGTTCTTCAGTTATGTCCCTTTACAACTATATGATATGCAAGCGGGGGCATCATCTGTGTCCACATGCGGGAATTTCTCGCTGCTTTAAAAACCTGTTGATGACCTTCTGCTGTTGTCTGTTCTATGGTCGGGTTGTTGTCTCTTTGACACATTCCCCATTTCCATTCTTAATTTTACTATCCACATTTATTGTCTATTTGAATCACTGCCCAAGTTTGTGTTGCTCAGTCTTAAGTTTTCTATATTGTGTTTTGTATACTGTTGTTTGTCTTTTTTCTTTTTCGTTGTTTACCATTGTGTTGTCAGTTTATTTCGACTTATGCGTTTGAAAGTCCCTTTTGCCTCTCTTTGGGGAGTAATGTGCGCTCATAATCATAATTAACACAACAACATTATGTATGTTTCTGTCCAAAGTCAGAAGCCTATTATTCCGTGGTTGTTGTTGGTTGCTGTCTATCATCTTTTTGTTTACCCTTTTAGCATAAATCAGGCCGTTGCTTTTCTAGTGTAGATTGCTTCACATTTTGTCATAACATGCTTAACACATAAACTATGAATGGTCATTGTCTTACATCCACATCATTTGGACTGTTGAAAAGTTGTCACATTGGCAATCTTACCACATTTCCTTATTTCATTATTGTATGCAAAACAGTCTACAGAAAGGTCTTTAGAAGACTAGCATTGAGAAGAGGTAAACAAATAAGGATTTATAAGGACCTCCTTCTGAATATGCATGAAATATTTGCCACTGGACGTGAAACAAGGAAGGGGCTAGCTGAATTCTTTCAAGTTAATGTATTGTTATTTCTGGAGGGGAAGGGGTTTGCCTTTATAGGAAAAAACCTAAATTGAAATAATGTTTTTTTTTTTATAAATTCAAATTGTGATGAAATGCACAGCAGGATATCAACATAAGAAAAAGTTTAATACCCTTCTAGATTTCAGGATTGATGTTACATTTTCAAGGGGACTTTACAAAGAGAAACAGGCATATGCATAATCAGCATGTTAACATTAACAATGTCAGTGTTCCATTGAACACAACCAAAACCAGATGCAAAATGGTGTACAAAAATGTAATAAAAAGAAACTATACCACATGCTATTATTTTCATATTGCCTTTTCAAACTGTGATATTTATCACTACTAGTATACAAAAAGGTCTTTGTTAAACAACTTCACAAACATCATAGATTTTCTTTTAGAAACATGATATCTGATAACTAATAATGCATTTTCTAATTTGTTGGCCTAAGCACCTACTTTTTAGTCTGATTCTTGGGCCTTATTTGGATGCTAGGAGCACACATATGATAAATCTTTTTCAAGTGCAATGTTGTGATAAAAAGTTTCCATTTGTTATCATCCAAAATATCTAAGTGTCAACTGTTCATTTTTTACTTATTATACAGGATTTCAGTTGGTTGCTATGAACAGAAACTGTTGCTAGGGAAAAATAATGTACAATATTATTTCCATAATATATTCCAATATATGAGTCATCTTGATTAACCTGTAAAAACCTTATTTTTAAATATTTTCACCATTTTTTTTTAAATTCAAAATTTAATCACAATTTTCTTTGGTTGCTACGGAAATACTTCTGTTGCTATGAGGAAAAAAATAGACAATTTTTAAAGAAAATAAAGTTTCCATTCAGATTATTTATGTACTTTCAATTCTCTCATTGTTTTCTTAGAAACAAATTGACATTACAAGATTTAACCCAAAATTTAACCATTTTAATTTTATATTTGGATAAATCTCATTATCTGTTACCATGGCAACAATATTAAAAAATTTTTTTTTGGTAAATTTTGAAGATCTGACTTAAATGTATAACTGACAAAAAATTTCAAATGTCTAACTAGTCTATTAGAGGTACAGTTAATATTTCATTAAAGTAAGCATATTTTCAGCATTTTAATGAAAAATCCTATGCAAATCAAGTATGTAAAAAAAAAATTCCATGGAGGAAAGGGTTAAAATAACATAAAAATTGGTTGGTTATCAATGTATACCATAACATTTAACAAAAAAGGAGATCAATGATTGTTTTCACTAAATGCATATTGTGAATCGTTCTGCTATATAACAAAATATAAAGCAATTTTAATAATGTATATCAACAATGACAATATCTCCAAACCTTAAAAATGATAAACATGCACTTGTTTTATACCATAAATTAGTTAATGTGGTTCCCTTTGGACGATATGGACCTTTAAGGTTTTTTAATTTTTGTTTCTGTGTTCTTATTTACAGTCTTTGTAGAGGATTTTATTCCCTGAAAGCGATTTTTCGTGAATGCACCTTTTGTCAGTGTTCATCGAGATTTTAAACATAAGGGGTTAAGTATTAAAAAAACGGCCTGATCCCGACCGATTTTTATAACGATTTCACTAAGATATGTAAAGCACAGTACATATTTCCTTTTATAATGCCAATGTCTTTAGTTGTCCCGCTGGTACAAAATTATGTAAATAGATTCAAAAGACCTATATAAAGGTGGTTTATTTTTTAAAAAGTATTCTTGGAATCCAAACACTTACTTTTGTATATAAAAAAGTGGATTGACAACAAAAATGCATAAAAAAATATATTACGATATACAATACAGTACGGATGTATACAGACCACGCATTAGAAAGAAATCAAATAAGGACAAACATGTGCGAAATCATTTAACAATATGATACTCACGCATCTTCTTCTACAGTTGAAATTATACGAATCAAAACCTCTTGTAAACAGGTAAAACGTTTGATATGTGGATAGATTGCCGATTTTTCTCCTAAAACTGCAGAGATTTATTGTTTTCGTTCCATCGGGTTTTTTTCCTCCTTTAAGAACAAATGAAAATATTTGCTTATTTTCTATATTTTAAAATATGCATTTTATTTTAAAAGGATAGACTAAACATTAATGCAAATATATTTCAATTTCTTCTTGATTGACTTATCTTTATGTTGAATGTCTGAAAGTACCTAACAGCCACGTTTGTCTATTCTCCACGACCCAACACATCGTGTTTCTGCAGTACAGAATAGTACAAACTCTACAATATTCCTTGACTCATATGAATGGTGGGTGCTTCTTCAGGGATGCTGACCCAATCGTTTCTGTTGTACTAAGCTTTGACTACCGAGCTAGTCAGTAATTCTTTTAAGTTCCGATGTCTAATATACGCTATATGGCTGTTAGGTACTTATGACTAAAGTTGGTATATTGTAATTACACCAAAAGAGTAAAACGTATGAATTAGATTGATTTGAATTTTCAACTGTGTACAGTGTCAGTAGTTGTCAACTCCGGCTGTTCCATATCAGACAAGTGCCATCAATACATTGAAAAATCGTCCGCTTTAAATCATTACTAAAGGCGAATGATACCAAAAAGATATTCAAACTCATAAATGTCGCAAAATCTTCAGTTCCGAACATGTGTAATATGGAGGGGAAGCTCCAAAGTTTCTGTCTGTTGTAATGATGTTAAAGCAACATTATTTTACCGATGATTCAAATGGTACAAAGAAGTTTGCTACATTAGGTTTACCTATTAAGATACGAGATTGTCCGACATCAAAGCGTACTCCACAGAGAGCACCATTTCCTCTTGTCTCTACAACAACATCTTGACCAACCCCTTCTGTAACACCCTGTATTCAAAATGTATATCGTTATATATAATTTAATCAGTTAAGATATTTTGAATTTTGAGGACAGAGTATTTTTAAAGTGAAAAATGTTTAAGGTCACCAGTAAACATTTGGCATACACGGAATACATTTTTTTGATTTTATACTCCGCATAATTCTCGATGAAAACACGTGTAATTCGCAGTCGTCCGTCGTCAAAATAGCCTTGGCTGATGCTGGTTTCCTTATAAATGAGGAAAAGTCTATATTAATAGACTTACGGATGTTCGCTACTCTCTTTCAAAATAACAAACGTTTTAAAAGACTGTTCTAAAAAATTGAAAACAACACGTTTAATAATTTCATGCGTCCGAAGCGCTATTCTGGATTTACCTTCATCAGGAACGCTCAAAGTGATAGTAAACTGATAGTATAGAAATAAAGAAACTAAAAAAGCAGAAAAAAATGAATGGTCCGTGCACTTGTTTTCGAGATCCACAATGTATAAGCCATTGAAAATTTGACGGGAAATGATTCTCTCTAGATTTTATCCTAGTTTTAACATTAACCACTTTTTTGTTTCAAAAACTATAAAAATATGAAAAGGATTTTATAAGATTTACAAATATGGCTTGTTAAACAATATGTAATACAATTATGAAAATAAAAGTATGGGTTAGCGGGCAAACTTTGTCAATGGCAATACATGAATAAAATAAAAAGAACAAGAGTAGCATCCTTAAGAATACCATTTGACTCTTCCACAACGTATATTGAGTTGACGATACAGTTTTCGCACTAAATCTAATTTTGGCTGATTTTCCTGATATCATGGCAACATATTTATAGGTTTCATAACGAGTGAGAATTGGATATCGCTTGATATCAATTCGAGTAATTTAATTTCAATATGATAATAAACGAGCCTTCCGATAGACAACTTTCTAGTTTGATGCATTTCCGTCAAAACGTTTGGTTTTAGTGAACATCAGTCGTGCGTTTAGGGGCATCATCACTTCCGTTCCCATGTTGAGCGGGTGGTTGGAAAACTATGATGCTATATTGCACGAATTATTCGGCAAATTGAATTCTCATAATTGACAATCAGCACTGCTGTCATTAGGGAATTATCTACAGAACAAACATTATTTCTAGTTTATCCTGCACAATGATGATCACTAAGACGCTTGGTGAATGGTAATAGTGCAGGGATACAGGCGATTCCCTCTATCTTGTAAATGACGTCATAAAGGCGCGCATAATTGACGAGTTTTCACCGGTGAAGGACAAACTCGAAAGTGGTCCATTATGATTTCTTTTTCGATTGACAGCTTTTCTAGCACTTTAAACAGAACAGTTATTAAGTTCAATTCATTAAATTGGCAATTTGCATCTGATGTGTTGTCCAAAATGTAAACCAATGTGAAAAGTTAGCTAGTCTAATCGATACACCTTGTGAGCAGATATACTAAACCTATAGTTTGTTGAGGTGAAGACACGTTAATTTGTGCCACAAATATTTAAATGATCAAGATTTTGAACAAGAAATTATGATGCTGAAAAACTTGGCTTGCCAGTTTAAATATTTCGCCTGATGTAAAGTAAGCATCGCCATACTATCTTATGAAATTTGACAATATTTTAGCAGGCATGGTCTGTTTGTGCCTTGGTCTCTAGTTAATGAATACGCATTGCATTGGGCATGAGTTTTATGCTTAAATGGTGCTAGTAACTAAAATAATATTGTATTATTCATTATGTAGGCCTAGTTTCTGCAAAAACATTTAAGCTGGTATTGTAAAATTGAGTATTAATACACCATATTCTTTTTTATTTCTAATAAATGTGCGAATAATTTTCTGTATTTATTAAGTAGTTTTGCAATTTATCAATTATCCGATATTCTTTATTCAATTTTATATCAAATGATGTTTAACGTCACAAAAAGAGGCACACAATGTATCTTCCATTGCTAGTTTCCGTTAAGATATTCTTATTGAAATATATATTGTCTTTGACGGTGCTCATAGAAAACGGGGAATCTGTTGTTAAATAAGAACCTATAACTCTAAATATGTATGTAATTAATTATGCAAATATACTTATACTTATTGTAATTTAAATTATGCCAGATGATAGCGTATGTCTTAAGTAGCTTATGCATGTTTTTTATTTAAAGATTAGCCGATTTCGCAAATCTGATACAGTATAATATACTTACATAACATTTTATTTAGAGAAGAGCAAACCTGATGTATACAGGTCAAGGTTAGTGCATTGTCATTTCGTAAACAGGAAATGATACATTCCCGGTCGATATACCCCAGAATTATCTAGAGTAAGCTAACATATGAAATGATTAAATAAATCATTTTTTAAATCAGTTTGTTTTTAGAGATCTTGGAACATATGCACGCTTAGAAACATTGCTTATATTTCTTTCACTGGAGCCAGATAGTTAAAGTATCAGCACTTCAAAGTGGTGGTCTTGAGAAAAACAAATTTGATAACACAGTTTAATATCAGATTGGGGTACTACCGTTGCTTAAAATGAGGTAAATGGTTGGTGTTTAGAAAGGTGATATAGTAATATGGCTCAAAGTATAATGTTTTTTCATGGTAGTGTTCTTGTTGCTCAGTCTTTAGTTTTTTGTGTTTTGTTTTGTATACTGTGGATTCATTTATTATCGTGGGTATTTGATTTTGTGGTTTCCATTCTCTACATATAAAGCCTATAAAAAATGTGTTATTCGTTGAACACTTGAATTCGTGGTTCACATGTACCAACAAAACCAATGAAAATTGGTATCAAACGAATAATAATGAATCCTAAGTATCTTAGCATACAAATTCTCGAAATCAATATATATGGTGGTTCTTGTGTTATGAGCATGTCATATATCAAAATGTTTTCGAGAATACTGAATGTATTTCTATTTAGACATTCGATGATTTTGCACGTTTAAATCGATTTAAAAACTGCTTATTACCTTCATTTTGAAAATGATTTTAAATGTATATTCCCAAGTAGCTAAATTATTTTCTACGTCATCGGGTGGACCTGGTATAAGCTTTTCCTTGGTAACTTTGCCATAGAATACTGAAAAAGTAAACGATATTTTGACACCATGATGCTTTTTTAAAATTTGTTCGGACAATCTCCTCATTACATGGTATCAATGTGTCATTACGCATCACCTTTTATTGACCCTTGTTTTCAGTGGGGATCGTGTTGGTTGTTCAGTCTTTAGTTTTCTATGCTTTGTTTTGAGTACTCGTGTTTGTCTTTTTATCATTTTTTTGCCATGAGATGGCAAATTATTTACCACCTTTATGTTTGAATAATTATTTTGAATCTTTCGTTTCTCCTTACAATCAGTCGACATCTCTGCTTCGTTTCTCCTTAACAACCACTCAGTCGATATCTCTGCCTCTTTTCTCCTCTACGACCATTCAATCGATATCTCTGCCTCGTTTCTCCTTTACAACCATTCATTCGATATCTCTGACTCGTTTCTTCTTTACAACCATTCAATCGATATGTCTGCCTCGTTTCTTCTTTACAACCATTCATTTGATATCTCTGACTCGTTTCTTCTTTACAACCATGCATTCGATATCTCTGCCTCGTTTCTCCTTTACAACAATTCATTCGATATCTCTGCCTCGTTTCTTCTTTACAACCTCTCAGTCGATGTCTCTGTGCCTCGTTTCTCCTTTACAACCATTCATTCGATATCTATGCCTCGTTCATCCTTTACAACCATTCAGTCGATGTCTCTGATTTGTTTCTCCTTTGCAAATACTCAGTTGGTATATCAACTTCATTTCTTCTTCACAACCACTCAGTTGATGAATCTGCAAAGTTTCTCCTTTACCACCACTAAGTCGATGTTTCTGTTTAGTTTTTCCTTTACAACCACTCAGTCGATGTTTTTGCTGGTGGACATTTTGTCCTTAATGACAGCATATGCTCAGTCGCATTCGATACATAAAATTATGAAGATCAAACAGGATATTTGGCGCGGACGTCATCTTGTCAAAAAGTATGAAACAGACGTCACTATTTACACGGTGTTTTCTGATATGACAGGTTTCTCTAGTCACCGAAATTAAAAATACCACGAATAAAACTAATTCGGATCACCATATGTATGACAAAATCAGCCATAATCCTCACTCACGTCCGTTCACAGTTTTACAAGACTGCTTTGAACACAAAAGCCAGGAAAATTGGAACCTAACGAATAAAAAGGAATCCACAGTATATCTTGGCACATTCTTGACGGTCTTAAAGATGTTTTAATATGTCTGGACACTGTTTCGACAGAATAGATTTCGTTTGAATCGTGAATCGATACATTCCTGACAAAAGTTTTATCCTCATTTCTATTACCGGTAGAATCAACTTAGCATTATGATATAATAATCTATTACTAATTTTTAGATTGAACATATTGATAAATTGTTTGTTTACTATTATTTACTATGTTAACATTGAATATTATGCATGCAAAATGAAATATGTGTACAGTATGACATTAAGCACGTATTTATAATAATAATAAATCAATATTTGTAATTATTAACAAACCCACATTTGAGTTGGTTTATATCATAATACTCACATTTGTATATGATAATATATTTTCATATTTATTTTTTGTATTTATAAACATGTTTACATGACCATTTTTTTTAAATTTTTTGGTGATAAGTTTAACTTGTAATAACAGATATTCTTTAAACATGTTAAATAGAAATAAAGAACAATACATATCATGTATATTCATGATAATGGTCATGATTTGTAAAGCTCAGAATTGTCAGATAAATTCAAGACACAATTCAAACTGTTCAGATATGTCAAACCATACTTAGAAAAAAAAGAATGCCAAGAACATGTCGAGAAACTCCAAACATGTCTACTGTCCCTCTGGTATCTTTCGCCTCTCTTTTCCAAGACAGTATGCACATGTCGAGAATTTGTCAAAACAAATTTAAGACCGTACTCAGAATGTTGAGAATATGTCGAGTAAAATGTTCATACAAATTAAATGTAACTTGGAATTTGTCAAGAAAAAATCAAGACATCAGTCATACTTTTTGAGTATGTCAGGTAATTGTTCATGCCTATCAAGACAAAAAATGGTCTTTTAAGACAGTTGGATTTTTGTCATGTTGATAGTGCAGTGTCTTGCTTGTTTTACAATACTGATCGCCCTCCTTTCCGGTTTTCGATTCATACGTTTTGTTGATCGCTGAATATTTAGTCTTTATAATTGTAGTAGCAGTTGAATAGCTAAAAAACGATACGACGTTGTCAAATGAATTTTATTCCTGGGACATATGAACAACACTAGCTTACCATTAAACAGTATAGAGTATTTTATATAATTCTTGGTGGAGAGAGCGTAATTTGCGCCGATGCTGACGACGAATAGGCTCAGTACCCGAGGGTATCATCAGCTCATCAGTCAGTATTTCGGTCTCGATTTGATATATAACAAACCTTTCTAAAATTGTCCGCTTATGAAGTTTGAAATTAATAAAGAAACTAAGATTCCAACTCCCTAAGGAGAAATTTACCTACGACGGATTGGGCTATTTTGGTCCTTTTTATACAACTCTTCAATTGTTTTAGTTTTTATACATCTTTGGCTTTCAAATATTCGACTTTCAGCGTTCCTGATGAAGTTTAATCAAGAAAAGCGCTTCGGACGCAATTTATTACGTGTTGTTTTAATTTTTTTTTTAAATCATCCCACCAATGTTATTCGGAATTCAAACACGTTAATTTAGGCGGCAATGGGAACACTGTTACGAGGGTAAACAACAGCACAAGCTGTGTGCAACAGGGCGTTGAAAAACGTCACTATGGAGGTTCATTACGGCCAAAAAATGCTCATCTATATATAGAGCGGCGTTAAGATTGCCCGGGTGATGCATCATCATATTTCCTCAATTTAAATTGTAATCCGCAAGGACCTGAAGGACACAGTTCATATTAATGTATGTTCAAAAATTGCGTCTCTTAGGAATGAATTTGATTCATCGCTAAACCAAACGTATTTACAAACTCTATCGAAATTTTCTTACAGAATAGCCGGTGCTAGGTGTCGTTTTAAGCATGCAGTGGGCTTTGTTTGTTTTGTGTTGAAGGCCTATCTGTGACATTGATATAATGAACTGCAATAAACGTAAAGATATCTGGCGGTTACTCGGTTTGCACAGATATGGTTTTAACTGTCTGTAGATAGATATTATAAGTTATATGGTTCGCTACTGACCCCCTACGCATCCATAGAGGGTTAGTAAAATCCATAAGGGGCGAGGACACAGGCCGAATCTCCTATGGATTTTATTCACCCTCTATGGACCGTAGGTGGTCAGTAGAGATCCGTATAACGAATTTATCGCACGCTGCCATATTTTCTGATGCGTTTTGTAGAAAAATAAACATTGAAACACAACAACATAAATAGATGAGGTCACCATTAACAGTAGACGTGACGTCTTGAACCCCCTAATAAGTTTACTAACCCCCTACGAATCCATATGGGGGTCACCACGTGACGACGTTTAACCAATCACAACATGATAATTAACTTGTGGGGCGATAAAAGAAGATGTGGTAAGATTGCCATTGAGACAACTCTATATCCGAGTCACAATTTATTGTGTCGGTTTTCGAAGGAGACCACGCATACATTTTGTTGTTAATGAAACTCTCACGATCAGGTTTAAACGATTCGCTGGTACCGTTGCAATTGTCCGGAAGACGTTCACGATTGAGCATCATAAAGTCTAGCGACAGCATTTTTCTTTTTCCTCGACCTAACAACACTCAATGGCGATGTTCTGAGTAGCTGTTCCTACTTTCGGCTTATCGTTGCAAGTAAGATAAACAGTGTATCAACTGAAACTAGTTAAAATTTTAGGTGTGTGTATATAAATTCCAACGGTTTTTAGAATGCCCGGATAAGACAAGGTTTGCACGTTCGCATGATCAACTGCCCTAATTATTCCTTTACGCCTTTCTTTGCAGCTGTAAACACGCTGTCACGTAAAAGTCATGTGGGATCAACAGCCACAATCTAGATTTTGAATTGAACTTTTGAACATTGACATTTAAATACAATCGCTATTTATGATTCAAACACGAACGTTTTTGAGAAACTTCATCTTTTAAAACTCATTTATGGTTTTGTGGTTCTTGTTGGGAAAGTATAGTTTGTTTATGAGGAAGTGATCACGTTCAAATAAACCATTTCATTTGAAATTTATTAGGGAAAAACATCCGTTATTTTGCCTAAACTAAATTGCCAAAAAAAAAAAAGAATTATGAATGTTACAAAAACAAGTTATCATGACCCTTTATGTACAGTAATTCTAAAACTTAACATATTTGGCAGAGCAGAATTCATCTTGAGGGTGATGCAAACCACGACACAAACAACTGTGTACACCATTTGTCATCCATGCTAGAACATTTACTAGTTGTAATATTTTTGTAACCATTCTAACTTATTGCTTTTTCCCTACTGATTCAATTTCTGGCATATATAAGGAAACCGAATCCTTATATCTTTCAATATTTAGATTTCAAATTCTTTTGTCAATGGGAATCAGGGGATAGTTGGTGGGGTTACTTGTACAAGATACTATGTCATATAAATGTGATTTTGTTTTTTACAAAGCAGAGGCTGTACATATTTCCTTCACTTGCATGATGCAATAATAATGCGATATTCGGATAAACAGAACGAGCATGCATGCAATAATTACAGACATATTGTACAGAAACAAGCCTTCACAAACCCCATATCACTAAATTATACTGCAATAAAATATGTCGAATACTAGTAAATCAAATACAATAGTGTAAGCTGCGACTATGCAGAAGCAATATTAATAGGGGATTGTTTATAACATATAGGTATATGTACATTGGCTTTGACATAATTACTTTTCATTCATACAGAGTTGTGAATTTGTTATTTTATGTATGATATTTTTTTTTATCATGTAAGTTTCCTATTATGAAAATAATACTGATAATGTGGTTCTCGATTTTTCATTTGATTAACACTTTTTCGTTTTTATTTTTTTTTTTTAATTTAAATTTAGTATGAATTGGTTTATGTTGATATGCTACTCATACACTAAGCCATATTCTTACACATTTTAGACATTTCATGCAAATGACTAAACAAGGTGTAATAGCACCAAATCATAGTACGTCACATTCAGTTGCATACGAAAAAAGGGTCGAAAGAATACAAAAATTGTGAATCTGTTGAAAATAAAACAGTTTTAATTTGCCCAAAATGAAGTAGCTCTTTGTCTCTCATATTCGTTACAAAGACTGCTAAAAAAAGTAAATTACAAAAATACTGAACTCCGAGGAAAATTCAAAAAGGGAAGTCCATAATCAAATGGCAAAATCAAGAGCTCAAACACATCAAATGAATGGATAACAACTGTCATATTCCTGACTTGGTACAGGCATTTTCTTATCTAGAAAATGTTGGATTGAACCTGGTTTTATAGCTAGCTAAACCTCTCACTTGTATGACAGTCGCATCAAATTCCATTATGACAACGATGCGTGAACAAAACAAACAGGTGAAAATGTCAAAAATAGGGATACAGCAGTCAACATTGTGTTATCATCTTAATCACTATAAAAACAAAACAAATTTAACAAAGAAGCAAAATAGGCATAATCAAATTAAACTTCCTCATTTTGGTATTTTATTATACGATTTTGTTTATCTATGTAAAATCCACCCATAAAGGATTGAACCATTTTAAGCACTGGCGTAGAATCGCGCGTTTGACGTCACACATGTAGATATAACATAATTGTGTCGTTCAAGGTATGACGGGATACATAAAAACAGGCTTAACAGTAAAAGAATATCAATAAAATAAAATAATTTTGTCGTTCAAAGTATGACGGGATACATAACTGATATGAAAACTCTTGGCTGGCGAGTTAGTAGCGTGTGGTCTCTTACAAATACAGGCGAAAAAATTAAAACGAGAAAAAGAATTAGAAGGTCTCAATTATGGTCATCGGCGCGAGCGTGGAAGTGAAAGATGTCTAAAAAAATAAATAGAAAATAAATAGATTGAAACAAACTATGCAAAATACAAAAATGCCAGAGGTCCTTGACTTGGGACAGGCGCAAACATGCGGCGGGGTTAACATGCTTTGTGAGATCTCAACCCTCTATCTACACTTAATTAATGTAGAATAAACAAACGCGCAGCAAAACGCACAGTGAAACTCAGTTTAGGTAAGGCTGAGTCCGATGTTAGAATAGGTAACTTACAATTGAAAATGACAATGATCAACATAAATTTACAAAGGACTACTAGCAGTTACTGACATGCCAGCTACATACCTCAATTAAACAGATTGGAAGATTATGTTTTCGTCATATGAAAATCAAACACTTTTCCTCCCGTTATGGGTTAAGTGTCAACCCATAACAAAATATACGAGAAGAACATAATTCGTATCATGCCAACAACTAGATTTAGAATAAATATGTTTAGTTCTGATGCGAAGACCCTTTGAGTGAATGAATATTAATAATTCCAAAAAATGCGATCCTCATTATGACTTGACAACAGTATCGTAACTACATCCCTTCTGAATAAGGCTGTTTAAAAGTTTGGTTATCTTTATGACGACATTTGTGTGCTTTGTATAAAATATTACCATAAAAGATTTGATGTGAAAAACCTGAGCATATACGATTTATTTATGTTGATTTATATTTACGAATGATGTACATGTACCGATGATAAAATTGCATATATGATATGACAAGTTTGTGATGTTGAAAATATCGGTGTAATAATTTTTTCAGTAATACAGAGATTTTTTTCGTTAATAACAAATACGTAGATACATACACGAGCGAATTGAACAAGTTAATGTATATAAATTAAGTTAACATTTATTATCATTAAACCAAATGCATCGTCTTCCTTGTCTTTTGCACAATGCATTTCTTGCAAGACAGGATGAAAGAGTATTTAAACTTTACAACCTATTTTACCTACCTCTTCTACATTCAGGTTCTGAAACAAACAAAAGGAAATGTATATGCAGTAACTGTGTTCCTATGAAATATTTGACAGTTTGTAGGCTTATATTTATGAAGTGTATCAAATATGCTATTAATATTGTTTGAAAACATCTGAACTTTTCTGTTCAAGTTTAAAAAGTAAAATAACAAAAACTTCGAGGAAATTAAAATGGAAAGTCCGTAATCAAATGGCAAAATCAAAAGCGCAAACACTTCAAATGAATGGATAACAACTGTCATATTCCATAGTGAGAGAAAGTGTGAGTGTGAGTAGCTATTTTTTTTTCTTCAATAACTATATTCTTGTATTATAAATATGAATTTAAAAAACAAAAGGGATAGTCTTGTACATATTTTTCAATGTTTACCCCAAAAACCATAGTCAGGTGGTGATTGTAGGGGTATTGTAAAATCCTGTCATATTCCTGACTTTGTACAGGCAATTTCTTATGTAGAAAACGGTGGATTTACATCTGGTTTTATAGCCAGCTAAACCTGTTACTTGTATGACGGTCGCATAAAATTCCTTTATATTGACAACGATTTGCGAACAAAACAAACAGACATAATACATGTACATGTAATAGGTAAACATGTCAAAAATATGGATACGACAACACTGTGTTATAATCTTAATCACTTTAAAAACAAACAAATATGTTGCAAAGAAACACAAATACATATAGACAAAGTACATTAGCAAAACTGAAAAACAAGAATACAAGAAGTTTACCATAAAACAATAAGACAATGACGGGATGTATAAGTACAGAGCCACGTCAATTGGATATGTCCTTGGATTAAACTTTTAGGGTATATTAACACACGAGAGAAAATATTATCACCCAAGACAAAGTCGTGGGTATGAGTGTTTTTTTTTTCGTCACCGAGGGTGTTAATCACCCTAACACTTTCATCTAAGGACAGTATGTTAATATTTTTATTTCTCCAAGGGAAGCATTTTTTTATTATACTGAATGCCTCCTGATTTAAGCGTGGACTATGTTATCAGGAGGACGATTGTAAAAACGGAAAGTCATCAATCAAGAAAGTTTACTAATAAGTGTAATGACCTTAACTTATACTTAAGTGTTCCGTATGCAACGTCACATCCTTAGTTACTTTGTTATGCATTCTTATATAGATTCTATGTAAATTGTTCCGACTCGGCAAACCTCGGGCTCAGGCTGGTGTTAATTTTAGACAAAAACCCCTGTTGCAAATATTATCAGATGCAGTTATGGGTGGGCGGGGCTTATGAAAGGTTAGAAGAAATTAACGAATGCCACATGTCCAATGAAATGAATGGATGATATTAGAAATTTGCATAAAGTATAGTGAAATAATTTAACACGTTATAAAGATCACAAACAACGTCAGTACCCAGAATCTATACTGCAAGGTCATCGTGTATTATTTGTGAGATGTGAGGAATATACATACATATATCCAGAAGGTCTTGGTATCTTCCGATAAACTTGTTTATAAAAAGGACGAGATGTTCATTGACATACCCCTGGTTCATCAACTTTTTTTCTCCAACACTGGTGGCGTTGTAAAAAATCTGAGTGGCAACTGCAAGCTCTTGAATACCGAAAATGTTGGAAAATATATATATATACCATCATGTGAATTATGTACACATCAACCCTATCGACCTATCGACGTTTACTTACATTGTACAAGTACTTTACAAGTTATACTTTTGCGGGTTAAAGATTGTTTTTTTTTGTATGAAATGTATGATAGGAAATGAATTTTAAGATGAATCAATAATCTTCAATTATACTTGATCGTAATTGAATTTGGGATGTAAGTTGAAACAACAATTGCACATGTAACACAGTCTTTCATTTAAAGATTGATTACGCACTTATGCATGCTGGAGTTATACGGGTTATAATAGTACTTTGACGCATTACGTTACGAATAATTTAACGTTGATATATCACACCTTCAACATAAAAGACGGGCGAACTTATTCATGGAGATGCATATACTGACCTACTTGCAAGAGACGAAGGGATATTTATAAGTCGAAAATACTCTGAAAAAGCCATGGCTAAAAAAGGTAAGGACAAGCAGACACACAACAGTACCCACAACAACATATAAAACTTAAGACTGGACAACAGGAACCCCATTCAAAACTGTTGGTGATCTTAGGTGCTCCGAAAGAATAAGCAGATCCTGCTCCACATAAAGCACTCGTCTTGTTGCTCAGGTATGTAAAACCCGTTTATATGTCTAATTCGATAGGTCACCTTCGGGGTTAGGTCTCATTCAAATGTACTGATTTTGTTCATTTATAAAATTAGGAATGGAAATGAGGAATGCATACAAGGAAACAAATAATTGCAATTCTTTAAACTGTAAAATTCCCAAAAAATAACGTTCACATTACTACCGGTGACA